CATTTTCACTCCCTAGATGGAGTCAGGCATAAACAGTTTCTCGATACAAAAATACACACAATTGGGTATCAAAGAGACAGAGAATGTAAATGTAACCATGCGTGTTTGTCTAATATACCTAGTTCTAATATACCTAGAAACAGACTAAATTTTTGGAAGGTAGGACTTGGCAATACCAGCTTGTCCCACCAATAAATTAGAAGAAACATAAATTATCATCGAGCGAAAGTGACTAGTGACGGTAAACTTGGATTCTTGAAATCTCCACTTATCTGGTTGCTTTTTCTTATCACTTAATTTCGTGGCACCTGGATGGGCACTTTTCCGTTCCGCTGCATTTATATGTTTATAGTTCTGTCGGTCAAACTACACATTCGTCGTATTGAACAGTCGTGTTTCCCTGATTATGTTTCACTCCCTAGATGGAATTGGGCATAAATAATTTCTCGTGTACAAAAGTACATACAATTGATTAATAGGCAGAATATAAATGCACAGATACGTAAAGAATAGCTATATCTACATAGAATTATTTGTGGCATGTATATCAGTTCTGTAGTGTATTGTCATAGAATAATTTTTGAAAGGGGTTGCAATAGTCCCACCAATAAATTGAAACCAACATAAATTATCATCTAAGTGACTGGGGCGGTGAACTAACTGTCATCCTATGTCAGATTTACTATGCTTAAGTGTATAGAGCCCACTATGAATAATCGGTGCGATTCGCGCACAACGTGAAATCCCGATTCATCATGCGAGTCTTTTTGTGGAAGTAGCGTTGTTCGTTGAACAGCTCGTTAGGCTGCGGCGGTGGTGCAAAAGCATGCGATGAACCCTTAAATCTCGGCACGGGAATATTTCAGCGCTCGGTCGTAACGAACGGGGTCGACATGCGAACGAATAAACGATCATGTCGAGCCGAAGCGCGCCGCGCGTGTTTCGCTAGAATCCCGAAAAGCGGGTTAATGCTCCCGCGGCACGAAACAACTTCCTAAAATAATCGCGGACTTCCTCCGTATCGCCGATATTCCGGCATATCGCAATATTCTAAGTTCATTCGTGCCGTTTAACTCCGATGATCTTGAACGGTACGCGCCGTCTATCGTTCCGACAAGGGTGTACCTCGTCCCATATCAATTCTACCATCAAAACGAACAATCATTTGCAATTGACGTATGTTTATTCTTGATGCCGACATCGTCTAATAACTATTTAATGAACATTTTTTTCTATTGGCAATTTTCGAGACAAAAATATTATTCATAGCTAAAGAGGCTAGAAAGTTTAACGTAATGTAATGTTAAGTTTTAAAATTTCATTTTTTTGATTGCTTAATTATCTTAGTACAGAAATATTGATTCAAAAGTTTTGTAACTTATATGTAAAGATATTTCGAAATTATTATATATTAAGATAGTGCGAAAGATTTGCCAATCTTTCATCCTATCTTGTATTAGATAAATTAAAAAAATAGAAGCTCTTTAAATAAGATATTGAAACATTTCTCTTTAGATGAAAAAAAGAATAAAACCCATGGCGAGGCGATTTTGCTTTCAGTTTGCCGAAATTTTGTTTTCAACTTTATTCGAAAAATATGACAGAGCTTTTACATCAATTTAATTAATTTTATCAATTTAATTATAGCTATTTCTTTTTCTATTTCTCTTAAAATATTTCTTATATTTATTATATACAAAATATGATTCTCTAAACGTAACTAAATTTATAATGCGTAGTTATACTCGCAATCAGTATTGTAAAAGGGTTCAATATAATAATATATTTTAATAATATCGCTTTTGTCTTCATGTTTTCTCTTTTAACGAAAATTAAACAAGAAATTCACTTATTGGGATGTTTTAATTTTTTAAACATATCTCTATATCTAACTGTGAAAATTATATTTCGTTGAAATAAAATTTGTAGTTAAAAGAAAAGATAAAAGTCGTTATTTGTCTTTCTGAAAGCTTAAAGCACTGAAAATTTTTAATCTCAATTTCTTAGACAAGCTCGTATTGATTTTTGGTACTTGTCCATCCTCATTTTCACGACGAGTGGCGCATGGTGCCCGCTAAAGTTGTCGATGTTGAGCTATGAACACTTTGGTGAATTTGTTTGGCTGATCTATACTCTTCTATAAGGAGGGAGAGTGTATCTGTTGCATCGAATGTTTCCATCGGTTCTTTTTATTTCGTTTTGTCCCGGCTAAAATTTGATCCGTGACTGGCGCCAGAATTATTGGCCCTCCTGCGTCCCTTCTATCCTCTTCTTAAGTGTCCACTTAGAGATTACATTCTTATACGGTCGACTGCCTCCGAAATTCATCGCCGTTTCTGTTTTTTAATTCGCACGCCGCGATTCTTTATTGCGGAGCTGTCCGCGTTGCACTTTTATCTTCTTCGAAGCAACAGGTGCGTAGTCGCAATTCTGATAATATAATCACTTTATATTTTAGACACACTAACTTTTTCATAAAATCGTTTTTAAACTTCAACGCTGGTGATATCATGATAAGTGGCACAAACTGTATCACTTCATGTGAAATTTGTGAACGTACAAATGCAACCATGTGGTAATAATAAATTATTTAAAGTTAAATTACATAAAACAAATGAAAATACAATAAGAAAGTACATGAAAGATGTTTTCAATTTTATAAGAAGTTTACCAGTGAGTCGTAGTTCAAAAATGAATTATTTAATTAAACTGTAGATGAGTGAAAAAGTAGATTCCGTATATTTGACAATGAATAAAATTCTGTAAAAAGGAATTCGAATTCGATTATAAATCTAGTCGTCTCTGATGTTCACAATTACAATTTATTCCAGTTTATTCGCGAGGCGAGCTCTGCGAAACCCCCGCATTTCCATTTCTTTTCATTATAACTAATTTTTGTATACGTAAAATTATTTGTACATTTACCTAACTGCATTGAGACGATTGCAACTGACATAACTACATTCCCAATAATAGTTAGATGTAAATATATCTATAAATGTATATACAATATATCTATAAGACGTAAATTCATGTGCAATCATTGGCCATAAATTCTCGTGCAAGAAAGCCAAATTAATGGTTTATGTCGAGTAATCATTTACAACATGTATTCCAACTTTATCGTTACACTTAGCGGATAGGAACGATGCCCGCAATCTTTATTGAGATGTCATCGATTAATGTTAAACGAAAGTAAACGTGATTGATCGCGCATGGTGGTCTCATCTTGGCAAAAAACCAAGCGCGCGCGTGTTCGAATTCGTGTAACTGTTATAAATAAACGTCTATATATACCGCATACGATGGTGTACAGGGATAGAAGGATACGCGAGAAAGGGGAAGTAGAGGGAAATATTGAAAAGAACGACTTCACCGTAGTGCCTTTGAATTAATTATTTGATGCCGCCCCGTATGAATAATTCAGGTTTCGGCGGACGGGACGAGTCTTGACGGAAGGTACCTTTACGAGAAGCGCAGAGGCCGGAAAATGGAATTGCCTTTTGATTTATCACTAGTACAGCCGGGCGAAATGTATACTTTTTCAATGTTTCTGCAAGAAGTTCAAGCAGTCTCGGATTTCCTGACATTTTTTTCCTTGTATTTTCCGTGTACCTAAACTACTACGAATATATCGCACTTATGGCACCATTCTTGCCAACAAATGTTTTAATTACAATGGTTGACATTCATTAACAACAGTTTCTCTTCATTGCAAAAAATGTTGTTTCTCTCATGCGTTATATCGCGTTTATATCTTTCCTTTCAGTAATCATTTTTTGTCAGAAGGTTCTTGTAATTATTACAGGAAACTTATAAAGTTTCTTTATAATTGGTTGAAAATATTAGAATTAAAAATACTTGAATTGTCGGCAAATAACTGCTGAGATTGTATAATGGATTACACAATTCGAACCAAGCATATTTTTTACGGTTGGCGGTAGAAAAATTATATAGAGAAAAATTGAACTTTAATGATGCTTTATCGATGTTTTCTGGAATGTTATTTTCTCTCTACAAATAAAATATATAAAAGTGCAGTTATATCTTTTTTAGAAAATAAACTACATAATTTTTCATTAAAGATATTCGTGTCAGTTTGCACGTGAAAGTACTGAGATTAAATTACCTAAAGAGGAATATTTTAAGTTATTTTATTTTCATGTATTACGACCAAAAATGTATCTCATATTTCGTAAAGTGTGTTTATATTCATGACACATATTCAATAATCTTATTTCTCTAATTGTGTCAACTTTCATATACTCCGGAATTAGACAAATAATTTCTCGTATTAAAAAACGAGACCAATTGCTTATTTAATTGAAACAGAAAACGAAAATAGAAACATGAATATTTATACATATCAAAGAAGTAAATTTTTACAGAAGTAGGACAAAACACGTATATTAATTATCATTGCCATAACTTGGAGTACGGACAATGTTCGTTTTTTTATTAATCCAGCATTTATCGATTATGTCATGCTTTGTGTTTATCGTTCGTTGAATTCGGATGTGTTGTGCCCTAAATTATAAATCATGAAATGATTGGAAGAGATATCGATATATATCACTTTTTCATGTCGCTGGTCGTAAAAAAAGTTTACATACGGCAGTTTGACTTGACAGATGAGGAGTTTGGGATTGAATGAGTTACAAATAATATTTTAGAAGCGTTTGCATCGATACAAGTGTGATTTACATAATTAACAAAACATGTGCTCTATTATATAATAATATATCTAAAGTAACAATTGTCTCAAAAATAGAAATGTCGCCAAGGTTACGAGAAATTGAAGATTAGTCCCGGTTTCGTTTAACTTTGATCTCGCACAATTAGTTTAAATCATCTTTTGTCTCTTTCTAAGGGGACAGAAAGGGACAAAGGACGAATGAAACCAACAATAAGATCAAAGTTGAACGACGTTGGTGAAAACGGGCATGAATCGTCCACCACAGCCGCAACTTAATTCCCGTTATTGAATTTTTATTTTTCAGGGTACTTCGGCAAGTATCTGAACAAATACAACGGCTCGTACATACCGCCGGGCTGGCGGGAATGGGGCGGCCTTATAATGAACTCCCGCTACTACAACTACAGCGTCAACATGAATGGCAAGAAGATAAAGCACGGCTTCGACTACGGCCGGGACTATTATCCGGATCTGATAGCCAACGACAGCGTGGCTTTCCTCAGGCAGAGCAAACACAATTTCGCCCGGAAGCCGGTAATGCTAGTCGCGAGCTTCCCGGCGCCGCACGGCCCGGAGGACTCGGCGCCGCAGTTCTCGCATCTCTTCTTCAACGTCACCACTCATCAGTGAGTACAACGGACCTTCTGACTGTCTATTCCGATTTTTTTTTGCGGGCGCGACGTTAGCCCCGGCAGCGGAACGCACTCGCGGTCTCCGATTCGTACCGAGGACTTTTTTGCAAACCGGTTCCGTTTCTCTTCGATGCCGTTTCGCTTGCTGATCGTTGAGCGATAAATTCACGGGGACGACACATGTGCACACATGTCCAATCGTGGATGGAATGTCGTTTTCCGATCGAGAGAATTGTAAATAAGCGAATTACGCAGCGGCATCTGCTTCGCGAAAGTAATAAACGTACCTTTATTCGGTTTCGTCATACTCACGTATTGCTTTTACGTTTGATGTAAAGTTTAATTGAGGCCAAGTTTCGCCAAGTTTGATTCGGCTTCGATAATATTTTTCCCATATAACACGTAATTTTACACGTATTTCACGCGCAAAACAAGAATTAACAAGAGGTAGCGTGAAACATTAATTCATTTTTTCTAATCCTGAATGCTCGTTTGCACGATCGATCGAATCTCAGAAAAGAAGTCAATGAAAAATGTCATTTGTTTTAAAAGCGCAAGTAATTTATGACACAATCCATTCAAGTTCGACAGAGCAAAATTGAACAAATTAGGGAGCAAGAAGTTTTACACAATCGTGCCACGCGACATTAATCGCGTATTGTGTGCGTGTTTCGCTCTTTTTATAAAATCTCTTGGCGAGAAACGCACTTTGCGATTCTTTCTGCCTCGCTGTTTTGCCTCATCTCGTTTATGCGATCTCTTTCTCGTTGAGAGAAAAACCGCCCATCCCAAGGTTTACACCTCTTTCTATCTCTCTCTCTCTCTCTCTCCCTTCCTCCCTTCCTTCCCCTTCCACCCCCTGACTGCACTTTGCGATGACTTCATCGTGCCATCATTGAAATGGGATTGAAAAACTAAACTACGACGACGAAGTCAAGCACGTCTTTGTGCTGGGCTTCGTGCGACTGGATAGACACGATCTTCGGGAACTCGAGTGATTCTAGCGAGAAAAACGAGAGTCAATTCCCGCGGAGAGGGCAGTTCTGTATGAGGTTTCTGTATCCTCGGCGTTATTCCGGATCGCTCGTCGTCGATATCGCGAGCCTGGGCTCGCTGTCATGACGACCGCGACTTGATCGAACCCAGTCGCGCGCGCCTATTATTTTTCTGTTGCAAACCGCCCTTCCGCTCGTCCGATAACGCACGACGGGGAACGCGCGACCCGACAATAAGAATTGTCGCCGCGGCGGGGGAAAAAAAACCGAGAACGCGGGGGCGACCGCCCTCCCGGCTCGACGTCGACGAGTCGGTCGGACCCCATCGCGCTTTTCACCCCCTTCCGAACAATGCGGCGCGCATTCCATCCGCGCGTCGGAGGCCGGTAAATTCGCGCGGTTTATCTCCGCCCGCGCGAAAATCCCCCGCGGGTCCGTGACACGAGAGGGAACAGGGACGGAAGACGCGGGCGATATCGAGCGTCAAACGCGCGGATATACGCGGTCCTAGACGGGGATAGACATCGCGTCGAATGATGGAGTGCCCTAGACCACCACGAGCGGCGCACTTACGAGTCTGTCTCGCGCGAGACAGGTATTATTACGCACACCTGTGTCTGCGGGAAGAGGGAAAAAAAGCGACACAGCGTGTCGCGGAGGCGCGGAACAAAAGTGGGACGATAGCGGACGCGCGCGAGCTGCCTCTCGAGGACTCTTTATTTGTCGTCTAGCTAGACGATCTATCGCGCAACACAGATCGACGCGTCGAAAAGTGATACTTTTAATGGCAATTCAGATTCTAAGGGCCGGTTCCACCATCCCCGATTAAGTCAACCGTGATTGGTCAATTCTGCTTGCGATAAATGCGATTGGTCCATTCCAATGGAACACTGAAATTTTATCGGCTGATTAACCCTTTGAAGCATACATTTTTCTATCGAGCCATTTTTTGTCAAACTTTGTATACAGGGGTTTTTGGGGCCGCTGATTATGAACCCGTTATCACAGATTTTCATAATTCACAATGTTTTTTTATTATTATTTATTTTATTTTATTATTTCTTTATTTATAAAACTTTTACAATAAATATTAACGACTGCTCAGCTTTTTTATGTTCTTTTGTTGCTAAGATACCCCAAAAATGCAAAAAAACGACCTAAATGCGTTAAGAAATCAAGTGGCGAAAAAGTAAAGAAGTCGAGGTGGTAACGTGGGTTACCACCATGCTTCAAAGGGTTAAATTAATCTCTAAAATGATAGATTTATTTAAAGCGCGGCGTCTCTTCGATTCTTTCGGCAATCTAGTTGGAATTTATAGTTGCAGCTTCCGAAGGGAGGGAAACATCATGCACTCGCGGCGAACGGTCTCGGTTGATTAATTTATTAGCGTGTGTATAGATTCTCATTGCGAGCTTTCGCGTTGCTGCGCGCGGATTTCCAGTGCCGGGTCTTCGCGCGGCACGGACGTCGAGAAAATAGCGGACGCGCGTTTGTCTCCTGCCAGGACGAGGTAAAAGGAGCCTTTAGGCCGCGCCGCACGTCCGTGGTGACGGCGTGCGATTCATTTCCAAGACGCGGGGACAGGGGAAAAACTCGTTGAGATGATTTTATCTCGTTTCGCGATAAAGGAACGAAGCTTCTTCGCTCTGGATGATTTATCGCGCTTACTAACTTTGTCGCGAAGACGCGGAGAACGCGAGGGGTTTGCCTAATAATTTGTCTAACAATTCGTTAATCACGAGTCTGGAGCGTTAATCATTTCTGTGGAATATGAGCACAGGGGGGACTTTCAATTCGAAGATACCAGGGGCGCAAATTATTAATGTTGTTACAGCGAAAACTACGGCGTACAATTCGGAGGGGGCGGACATTAAATTCCTAATTTGTGTATTGTCGAAAAAATCGCGAATATTAAAAACTGCGAGGTCAATTTAACAGAATTTTGGAGAAAAGTTTAGATTTAAAGATCCTTTTTGTCCCGGAATTTAACGTTACAGTTCCGAGTTCAATGTATTTTCCCTCGCAACGTGCGTCTGTAAAACTTCATTGTCTGGCCTCGACTCTCAATTGTGAAAATTTCCGGCGGGATTGGGAGCGATTGTTCGACAAGTGTCATTCTGAAAATTCTATTTCCCGAAAGTGACTCGTAATACCGAAAACTACCAGTGGAAAATTTAGGGTTTATTTGCCCGACGAAAAAATCGACGTTCGAGACGCGAAGTCGCAAATTTGGCATTGAACACGCGGCATTGAATACACGGTGAAAAATACCAACGAGAGAGAGAGAGGGGGGGGGGAGAGAAACAAAAAGAGAGGAAAAGAGAGAGATAGAGTACTCGCGGAACATTGTTCGCGAAATCGCTTAACGCACCTCGATATTGCAGATTACATTTAATTACGGCGCGATATCACGGCCATTTACACGGTGGTCGCGGAACGTCAGCCGGGGTTTTAATACCAAGGTTTTCATTCCACGCGCTCGTACATCACGGCGTTCCCGTGTCGTGCCACTCAAAAGCTAATCGACAGAAATTAATGTGTCGGGCGGCATGTAACGTGCTTTCAGGGCTGCTTTTATCGGTGCGCCTTTAAGCAATCGCCAGCAGCAGGCGCTAATCTAATTCCCTCTCGATCAAAAGGTGTTAAGTGCATCGCAGGATAATTAATATAAATTAATAATGGGCCCTAATGATAGTTTGACGGTAATGGCTTGGTGGAGTTACGTCTATGTTTATCTGATTGCAGAGTTCCTCAACTCGCTACGCTAGCAGTATTTCTTCTTCTTCTTCTTCTCTTTTTTGAGAGAAAAAGTCCCGAGCGTCCGCGTAATAAAAATATTATCCAGTTTTCTAATTTTGTCCTCCAATTTCGTATAAGATCTTGCGCGAGATATCGATTGAGGCAATTGTAATTAACTGCAACCGCGAATAAACGTGTTTATGATGAAAAATTAAAACTCATGGCTCACAAGTTCCTCTTACAATCTCGTAAACAGGTGAGCGTGTTAAAAGAACACGTGTTAATTTATAGCCGTGGAGTCTAGTTTGACCCCTACGCAACTTCTTGAGCGTTAACTCGTTCGACGCGACGGATCTTTGGATAAAGATGGTTCGATTATTTTTGCATATGATTACGCATACGCGTGTGCGTAAATGCGCCGCGCGTGGGTTAATATCGTCGTTTTATACGGCAAAGGAAACTATCTGTATGCTTTTCGCAACCTCGCGCGTCTTTTTGCACTCGCTCCAATGCTTTACGAGCAGAATATTTAAATTAAATAATAATTTCATTAATTTGTTAAATTAAATAATTTCGTCAATTTGAAAACATCTCTGCTAATTACACTGATTGAGATTGTCGAATTTTTTTTTCTGAAAATATTTTAATCCAACGATTTAAAAAAAAGACCATGATTCCGGTCCTATAATATATTTATCTAAATGCAAGTCTTACTAATGTACACTCTCATGTTAGGCAGAAAATGATAATTGATAATTAAATATGTACACGCAATCGATTCGACCATCGTTTTGCGGGATGTTTGCACTTTATCCGCTTCCGTCCCCAATTTGTCCGTGTCATCGGATCATACACTTCTCCTTCGGTAAAAGAGGAAAGACAAACGCAGGGAGACGAACGAGGATATAAGAGAGCAAGCGATGACACTCGTCTGGGTGTAAATATAATTCGCGGTGTCTCGCGGGCGAGTTAAGTGGTCATGGGGCGAGACGACGAGCGCAGAATAGGCCGCAATTAAGGAGACGAGTCGAGACGAAACGAGCGGCCCGTACGCGGCTGCACTGTGGAGACACGATGGCAGGCATTCACCATTCAAGATTGACGCGGTCGTTTTCTTCTTAACTGTGAATTTTTGATTCGCAAAGAAATAATGACACAATTTATCTGGGGTCTCATTAGATCCGACATAACTTGTACTAATTTATATAAATTCGAAGGAATAAGAGGGCTAAGAGCCGTGACGGAGTGCCTAAAGAATTTTATTATAAATTTATTGCAAAAAATATAAACACTAACACCCTGTGACAACTCTCATTCCTTCGAATTTATGTTTAACACACCTGAGAGCCTTATACATTTATAATTTGTATACTTCAGAAAATTTTTACACATTGCTTGGCACGAAAATCGATTAATGGATTTACAATTTTACAATTTTACAATATCACAATCGCGCGATTGCGTCGCGCATCTTGTATTAAATTTAATACGCAAAGAATTTACGACGATAAACGAACGAGTGGATATCAAAAAATCATACGGTAGAATTTAATTGAATGGCGGAGATATTAAAAGGTCCTGCGCTCTTGTTCTGTTTATTATTACAGAGACTTAGCTTGGACTTATAGCGCCTGTTCTCACTTCTTTAAAATAATATCTTTGTTTTTATTTGTGACGTACTTAATACAAACCAATTAAATTTTTATTTTCTGATAAAAGATATTTGTTATGTCAATCGACATATCATAGATATGTTTGTTATATATAACTCGGTATTTGATATATATCAAATATTGAATATACGACACTCATATACTTACAGGTCTGCCGGCCAAACAACGCATTCGTTGCATTCAACAGTCGTGTTTTCCTGATTGTGTCACTTTCACTCCCTAGATGGAGTCAAGCCTATGCATAAATAGTTTCTCATAAACGAAAATACACACAATTGGTTATAAAAGAAATAGAGAATATACAGGAGTAGAAATACATAGACATGCATAACTATATAGATATATCTACATATATTATTGTGTGGCATGTAGATATATCAGTATAAGTAAAGCCAGAAAATAAATTTTGGAAAGGTGAGATCAACCGACCCAACAATAAATTAAAACAGGACCAACTTGATTTAAGAGTAATGAAAGAAATAAAAACTGTACTCATGATATAGCTTTCAGGTATAGAAGAAGCAGAGTAGTAAAAACTATACAAATAATTATTTCTATAAATAAAGCTCTTTTCAAATTGTTTATTTTTTGTACGATTAATTACGCAAGTGATAAATATATAAAATCTTGCGTTCTCTTTTTAAGTATAAATTTAAAAGTGCAGTTTATAATTTTTACTGTCTATCAGTTATTTATTTTGCTTGAAATTCGAAACATATGCGTAATCGGGAACCTGTTTTTGCTGCATGAGAACCCGTCAATAAGACAAAGATCCTGCGTGCAATATGAGCGTTTCTAAAGGACGTGAAAGAAGGTGAAGGGCCAATTACCCATAATTTTGTATCTCGCGTAATTGGAGGAGGAGAAAGAGGCGGCGAGGGTCCGTCTCGAGCGTACCTGTCCACCTATGATCCTCACCCCGCCGTCTCATCGCCGGTTTCGCGCTCCGCTCATGGGGGGGGGGGGGGAATTAATTCAATTTTGGTCTAGCTGTCAAGAATTCCTGGGACAAAATTGTATTACACGTTCCTAAATAATACGTAACACTGAATTAATTTATCGGCCGATTTCTTGCGCGAGACGGAAAATAGAATTGAGGGAGACCTTAGGTTTGAAATCAAAATAAAAAATTTTTATACTTTAAAAATTATAACATGAAAACCCAATATTGGAAAATTGATTGGTCTAGATTCCTATACGGAGAGAAGTTTTTTTTTTTAATTTATTCTGAAGGCCGTGTAATCGTGGGGCAGTGTGGCATTTTGAAGAATTTTATGAGAGTGTTTTGAAATTTTACCATACATTCTACTAGTAAAATGGTAAAATTTCAAGAAGCTCTTATACAATTCTTCGAGATGCCATGTTGTCCCACGATTACATGATTTTTCAGGGTAAATTTTAGGTGAAAATTCTCTCAGCGTATAAAACAAAAACATTTTACAATATAATATGCACACAATATAATGCGATTTGTCTCTGTTCTAATTAATATAAATTATTCATATTGTATATGTTAATAATTATCTTTATATTAATTATTATTCAAACATAAGTTATTAGTATACGCGATATTAGATTATTTTATAATACATGTTGCCTTACCTTTTATTTAACAAATGTATATAATTTATACCGCTCGTATTATCGCTTATGATTGAAGATGAAGACATAAACTCTAATTAAATTCCGTTGGCAAATGTTTGCTCGAATTAGTTTTTTTTTATAAAGAAAAGAACAATTAAATTTTACATATAATTATGAGATCCGCATAATTAACAAATTATGTTTACACTTTTGTATTTCAGCACGCCAGCATATGATTACGCACCGAACCCCGACAAACAATGGATACTCCAAGTTACGCAGAAGATGCAGCCGATTCACAAACAGTTCACAGATCTCTTAATGACAAAACGACTGCAGACGTTGCAAAGTGTCGATGCTGCTGTAGACAGGGTATGCATTATGTAAATAGAGTACTCTTAACGCTTGCGTAGAATTATTTAGAAAGCCTAGAAATCTAGAGGGAAATCTTAGCTAGAGTCATATAATCTCCGGAGAATTATCTTAGATGAAAGTGCTAGGCTGTAATACAAATGCGCGATACATTTACCTTATGACAGATTTACCAAGAATTAAAGGATCTGGGTGAACTGGATAATACGTATATTATTTATACGTCCGATCACGGATATCACTTGGGGCAATTCGGACTTATAAAAGGCAAGAGCTTCCCGTTCGAGTTCGATGTACGAGTGCCATTCCTTATTAGAGGTCCTGGCATCGAACCTGGATCCATGTAAGTCGCAATAAAGTATTTAATCCTAGTCATTCATTGTTATAGCAATTTGATTGGAAATTAATGAAATTTTGATTTTTAAATTTCAATTTACAAAATCCCTTTTTCGATTCCGAAAGCAGAGAGTCCGAATTATGAAAATTATACTCGTGGAAATTAAACTGCGCAAAAGCTGATGTCTAGAAGAGCAAACAGCATTTTCACAAAATGAAATCGATTCTCCCGAAAATTCTTATAGAAAAATACTCTTCAAGAACAGGAAGGCTATAAAGTATCAATTAAATTTTCAGATTGATCTTATGTTTGCAGATCATAATTATATTAATTATGAAACAATAAGAGGAACGTAGAACGATTACATATTATTTATTTCCAATTACATTTTTATTTTCATTTTACAACAATTGTAAATTATTATCAAATTAGCTAAATGATTCGTCAGCGATGTATTTAAATTCTTCTCTTTTTATTACTCACTATCCTTAGGTAAGTAAATACAAGCTGGAATAGACAAATCCAACCGAGAAATAAAATCGTTCCTTGTAATGACGCTACAATAAAATTTTCAACCGCCTTAATGTCTGTCTAGTATCTCCGAAAGTAACTGAACATCAATAAACGTCGGGAGGTCGTTAAACGTTCTTTACGCCAAGTAGTTGAGTCGCTCCGAAAGTACAGCCATATGGCTATAAGAGGTTTATTGGACATACGAAGTTGCGGCGAGGTCATTATAATGCTGTTACCCACAAAACTTTTGTGCGTTGGCTTTCGTTCGCGGAAACTCCTTTAAGAACAAATAAACGTCAGGAAGCGTAAGGCCCGGTATTGGGTCGCAATAAAGCATCCGCATAACGTTGCAGAGTAGACGACATAGTTTTGAACATCGATCTGGCGCCGACGTTCCTGGATATCGCCGGCGTCGAAACGCCACCACAGATGGATGGTCGTTCCTTCAAGAAACTCTTTCTCAAGTGAGTACGTCGGCGATTTTTCTTATGGTCCCGTGCACTTAAATCTTTAGGCTCACCATGTCATTGCACTTCAATACGAGCATCTTCAAATACACGAAATGAAATATAAAAAGGATGTACAACATATATTCATGCGCCGAGAATTAACATTCATTCATTCTCTTTAAACATTTTCTGGCTGATTGCGTAGGAAGTGTCGTTGCAAAAATCTTATAAAATTCGAGAGATCGTTTACCGGTATCGATCAAGTTTGTAAACTTCGCAGTCGCCCAGTGAAATAAATTGTATTTTAAAGGCGTTAATGAAACGTGATTTTATCTGAGACTTTCAGCGAGACTGTTCAGAAAATTCAATTGTCTTATTTTTTTCTTGCTGCTCTAACACGACTGCTTGAATATTGGTACATTGACCTCCAGATCTTGATCACTTATTACGGCGCGTTATGTCACACGCACGATTCCCACGATGAATTCTCAATGTAATAATTTCCAATTGAGTGTTAGAGCTTAATGTTCCTAGATGCCCAACTTTAATGCGGGTTACGTAATCGGATTTCAGTCCATACCGAGCTAAAATTCCTGTTTTATAACTTTATTAATTTGTCAGAACTTTCTGACTTGGTTAGACGAAGTTACGTTGTTAAAACGCCCTTTTTGCACCGTGACTTTTTGCAGGCTTTACCTTGTAGCGAATTATAATCTCCGTCGTGTAGCTCCATTAAATTATTATAACAGTAATAATTGCACTAGCGCGAGGCGCAATATTTTTTTCTCAAAGTGAACCTCCTGCGCCGTATCGACCTCGCTTGCGAGTAAAGCCCGTCGTTTTAGCAGCAAGCACGGCAGAAGGTCGAAGTTCAAGTGGCCCGACACATTCCTGATCGAGTCCTCCGGCCGCCGTGAGACTCCGGAATCTATCGCTGAATCGAAGGCGCGAGAAGCCAGGAGGCAAAACGCCACCCAGGCCAAACGGCCGTCGAGCTCGACGCCGGAGGAGGAGGAGGATGATACCGTCGATCCAGACACGGACACCGAAACGGAGCATCGATTTACGGAAAACGATACCGGAAGCGATCAGGACATCTCGGACGACGAGGATTTCGAGGACTCGATGATCGACGAAGCGAGTGAGCCGCCCATTTAATCAGTGATCCGCGGTCATTCTTGTATTGTCGCGACCGATGATCTCTCGTTTTAATTATCATCGGCAGTTATTTGAAAGTATTTTGTGCAATACGAAGATTAGATGCATTCTAAATCGAATGATCGGGGTCTCTCACGCTAATATATACAGACGGATAATCAAGTGGATAATTAATTTATGGGGCTTCATTACATTCGTCGGATTATTGGAATTTGCGAGTCGATGGGATTGTACAAATTCATCACGTTGCAAATCATCCCCGGTATATTAAAATTATTTAACGTAGGCCGAAGAGAAATTATCGCGCGCGCCGGTTAGCCGCTTCGTTCTCTCTCTTACTCTTATCGTCGGAACAGTTAAATTAAAAAGTGCCACACAGCCGTACATTGTAAAGTGACTGTCTCAATCCGCTCACGGGCCTAGGGAGATCGTCGAGACCCGGCCGGCGACATCGATCTCACGAGAGTCAGGATAGATAGTGATCCGTTGGTCCGACGACAACGGAGCAGATGCTCCGGGCGCAGCGTTACATTATAAAACCTACCGTTACACCAGATGCTGTGCGTCGCGTATTACACGTAGGTACACGCGCGGAGGAACGAGTTCTTTCCCCGGTTATGCATTAGCATAAATACCCGGTCCTCGGGATCGAGAACGGGGCGCATCCCTCCGCCCTTTAGCCTCCTCTCGAGATTATCGGGAGAGCGCTCTGTCGCGAGGGTATTTTCGGCGATAAACGGGGTGTCAGCGAAAGTATCGGCGACGACGATGTTCCTCCGAACGCGCGGAAATCTCACGATCTCGCGCGAAGGATTAGAATGGTTTCTTCTTTTATTTATTTTTCTTTTAAAGAGATTTTATGCAAGGAAACCTTTGCGAAACGTTCGAGTTTTAAGCCCGCTTGATCCCGGTAGCTTTTTTCCCCTTCGCGATAGAATCCGCAGTAACGTCATCGACTAATTCCTATACTCGTCGTCGCGGACATCGAGCTTCGAGGACGCTGAGTTCCATTGCGTTCAGCATCGCGTTGTGTTCAACTTTGCGGATATTTGTTTGCGCATAAAGTCGTCATGTCAGTCTCTTTGGCTTTATAAAAATACTATGGACCACTCCGTGTCCGCTTTCATTGGAGACCGGCGATTTCATTCTGCGACCAGTTCGGTTTCCTCGCTGAAACAATACAAGCAACGGTTACAGATATTAATAGAAATATCGTGTATATTGAAGCGGAAACTGCAAGAAATTCTTTTAAAAAGATCACGTCGGGATCCCTGAAAGCATATCATGGAATCCGATAAACAAAATTAAAATCTGGAAAATTTCCTATCGTCATATACCATGCATTCGTGTCCCAGGCTCAGATCCACATCTCGACAACAGGGTGCATCCGATGCACGCGCCCTTCGCGACGAAGCACGAGCGTCTCGCGGCGGAGTGCTCGCGACCGGAAGCGCAGACCGATTGTCTCCCCGGGCAGAAGTGGCGATGCGAGAAGGACGGGCACCGCTGGCGACGGCACAAGTGCAGGTACGCGGCGCCCCCGCCGCCGCCGCAGAGGGTGTCCAAGAAGTGTGCTTGTTTCACCCCTAACGGCGTGATCTACACGAGGCTCGAGTCCAACGATTACGACGGGCAGAGATACGGTTTCACGAGGGACCGCCGGCCTGTGGATCCTTACGACGACACGGCGGGATACTTCGCCAGACGAGGCGAGTGTCCTTGGTTGTTGCTATCCTGTATTTTAATTTTTATTCTTGATCGACTGCTATCCTGTAATCTGTAGCATATATAATCTATTTTGTGGTTTTATATCATCTATAGCATTTGATTTATTTTGTATTTTATATAATCTAGGAAAAGAAATAGAAATCCCGATAGTAAAGCAACTTCCCGATAAATTTGAGATCGACATTAGTATTTCCTCAGTGTTTCTTAAATTACTGAGACAATTGTGACAAAATAAATTGAAACTTAAGTGGATAAGTTGAATTAAAATAATTTGATACAGGCAAGCGAGAAGTATCGAGTGATATCGTATCAACCGAGGAAAGTAGTGAGGAATCTGATAACGACGTCGACGTGGATGACAGAGACAGACGTGCGATCGACGAGGAAGACGACGATAACGCGATGCAGGAGTTAGATATGCCGGCGCAGGAGGTGAACGGAGAATATAGGAAAGTTTTCGAAAGGTATGAAAATAGTCACAAATGAAAGTATCACGAGGTTCGGAGGAGTTTTTTATCGCGAGATCTACGGATGGCATACATTTCAGAAACGGCAGTAAGACGAGACTCGAGAACGCTGGTGACGATGAAGCTGACGAACTGGACAAATACATTGTCGACTACTTGGATTACGGCTATTCGATAAACGACTTTGATCCCACTTTAGATAAGATTGTTAAAGGTCGATTAAATGTAGACGATGTAATAAAAAGGCATCGGAGAGTGCGGAGAAGTGTCAAGAAAGAAGATACCTTAGATCACGTGACGAAGATTATGGAAAGCATAGAGGAGGAGCTAGATGACTTGAAGGTAACGTTTGAAGCGTCAATTTCACGCTAATTTTACACACATCCACCGAGAATCACTTCCAGTAAGAATCATTTTATCATTTTAGCAAGTTCGTCACTTGTCGCCCGACATGGGAAAGTCACTGTCGCCAAAATGCTTGGTGTTACCGGAAGGGGGTGTAAATTGCACTCAAGCTATATATCAAGATCCTAACGAGTGGCGAATATCTAGACGGGAGATTGAGCAGCAAATCCGAGAGATGCGAATGCAACTGGAAACGTTGAAAGTAAATTGTATAAACATAATAGTAATACGTTATACATACAATTTGTACAATGTATTTATAGATCTTTTAATTAAAGTTTGTAATAACGTCGATATATTTGCAGGAGATCCGCCGGCATTTAATGATCAAACGGCCACAATTTCTGGATAACGAGGAGAAACTTGCTGACGCAGAGGAAACTCGCAATTCGCACAAAACTCACCATCATCCACCAAAGGGACACGCGAGCCGCCATCATAAAAAGCACGATAAAATTACCCATACTACTGCAGATTTTATCATGAACACAACTACGGAGTCTGTTACGGGAATTAATACAACTCCGAGGGATGAAAAAGTGTCGACGACGGACGAGAAACCTGATAAATACGGTACAACTCCTATCGAAACTTCCACCACGGAGACCGTCGGCGAAACGCCAGAAACAACGACAGTCCTGACGACAGTTAAGCCGAAGAAATCGCCTCGCCGCCAGAAAACTAAGGAAACATCTACAAACCGAACGGAAATCGAAGAGGATAAGCCGCAGAGGCGTAGGAAAACGCATCACCATCGTAGAAACAATACGCTGCTAACGAATAGCGTACACGACGATGTCCCGCACACGAATATAACGTACATCACCAGCGATGTGACATTGTCTACGCAAAATCCTACGACTCGCGAGAGACACAATTACAGTCATCACAAATTTACGACTGTTTCCGCTACCACAGAAGCGAGCAGTACGAGGCAAGAAACTCAGTATTCAGGAGTTTTCAGAAGTAATAACGATTTCAACGAAGATCGTACTATGGAGTCGATTGCGGTTACTGAGTCCGGAACTACTGTAGCAATGACTTCGACGCGTATGACGGAAGTGCCAAGGACTAACCCGGCTATCGATAAAAGTTTCGATCAACCTCGAAATACGTCCGTCACATCACCGACGACTATGCCGTCGGTGAAGAGATATCCCAAAGTGCAGAAGAACAGAACATCAGGTATTCTTGGACCAGCGAGAATCGACGTTACCATTCTCGAATCTCCCGATAGAAAGCACAAACAAGGTGCCATTATGAATTTTAATTTGTCTCGGCTTCTATCTTTAACCCTTTCACCACGAAATTGCTTTATTGTTGGGGACATACATGTGTCTTCATAGTCGCGAAAGGGTTAAAGAGCATTTTTTATCTTATAACTTTTAAACAAAATCGTGTCTCGATTTAAAGTATGTGAATTTTACTGTTCCACCAAAGGAACTGTGTCTTAAGACCGAACGCATTCGGCGCACAGAACGTCTTGGAAACGGTATAAAAAAATTCACACAATAAACCATTGGCTACCTACATCCTGTTCGGATCGTATTGGCTTTCTTATTTCATATTGATTTATATCATATCGGTCCAGATTTTACATCTTCATTATTGTATATAATTTTTGCCGTAGGATTAACCGCATCTAGTAACAACGGTCGTCTGCCGTCGATGCTAAACACTTCGGTAGAAACGCGACACAAATGCTATTGCGAGCCGGACGCAAAAAAAGACGAAAAGGAGATCGCTAGGGAGGAGAGGCGGAGATTGAAGGAGGAGCGTTTAAGGAAGAAGGAGAGAAAACTCAGGAAGAAAGCCAAGCTGGAAAAGGAGTGCCTGACGGAAAAAATGAACTGCTTCGAGCACGATAACGATCACTGGCGTACCGCACCCCTGTGGAATGCCGGACCATTTTGCTTTTGCATGAATGCTAATAATAACACATATTCGTGCCTACGTACAATTAACAAGACGCACGATTTCCTTTACTGCGAGTTTACCACAGGATTAGTGACGTATTACAATTTAAGACTCGGTGTGTATAAAAAAAATATTGAGGAGCAAAATGTCACAAAACAATAATTGATGATCTCCTTAATATTTTGTTCAGATCCATTTGAACAGTGGAATAGAGCGTCATCTCTGACTCCCACCGAAAGATCGTATCTGCATGATCAGTTGGAGCACTTGAAGGGATGCAAAGGTACATGGGACTGTACGGTCGGTAGCGCTAGGGAGGCCATGCCGCAACTGCAGCAACATCAACGATATATTTCCAAGAGAAAATACAATGATGCATTCGGTACGTCTTGTCGAGAATTTGTTTATATGTTAAACACTAAGTGTCCCATTAATTGTTGCAGCAGAAGACATGTTTGTACCTTCAACGTTACAAATTATACGTGAGAGCGAACTTGGCAGTCCACCCAATAAAAGGCGAAAGAAGTTACAGAAGTCAGTATAGAGACATTTCTAAAACATTTAAAATTATATTTGAATTTAATATCAACGATATCATATTTTGTCTCAGTTGGAACAGGCGCAATAGAAGCTGGCAAAGCAGCTGGCGACATCATCAAGATTCAGTAAATCCCCGACGTCATAGTAATAGACATCAATACTGATCCGTCTTCTTTTCTTTTACGCTTCAACAATTGCGTGACAAATTGTCTTAGGTATACATTGATTTCGCAACGCATTTAGTAACCTAATTTATTTAGTAATAAATAACGAAGAGACCGGGCTTATATTAGCTGATATTTGCAAGGGTCATTTGAAAAGTTCTCAGAATTAGGTGCAGATGGCATTCGTACAACGAACGTCAGATGTTAAGTGGAAAGTTGCAACTCTTCCGTAAACATGTGTAAGGTTCCAACTCGTTCCATCAAATAGCCATCAAATAATCATTTTTTTAAACAGATCTTTGAACGAACATATCTGCATGAGTCTTGAAAAATGGATAAACTTGAAGTGCGTGCTGTGATCAAGTATTTTGTGAAGAAGGGCTTGTCGGCAAAAAATATTCATACCGATATGCAAAATACCTTAGGGAACTTTGCCCCTTCGTTTTCAACCGTTTCCAAGTGGACCGCTGAGTTTAAACGAGGTCGCGAGAGCCTGGAGGACGACCCTCGCAGTGGACGTCCAAAGAGCGCGACGACCCCCGAAGCTATTGAAAAAGTCCACGATATTGTATTGACGGACTGCCGATTGAAAGTGTCCGAGATTGCTAGGGTTGCGGGCATCTCGGACGAGCGTGCGTTTCATATTTTAACTCAAGAATTGTGCATGAAAAAGCTCTCAGCGAGATGGGTGCCTCGTTCGCTAACAATTGATCAGAAGCGCATCCGAATGCAGATCTCTCAAGAGTGTTTGGAGCGTTTTAAGAAGAACACGTCCGACTTCGTACGCCGATTTGTAACCACCGAAACCTGGGTCCACAACTATAAGCCGGAAGTGAAGCAGCAGTCGACACATAGCGATTCTCCGCCACCGAAGAAGACCAAGGTGGTTCCATCGACTGGGAAGGTTGTGGCGTCGATTTTCTGGGACGCCAAAGGAATTTTACTGATAGATTATCTTCCGGAGGGTAGAACTATAAGTGGAGAGTATTATACTAGTCTTTTAGAGCGATTGGATAAAAATATTTGCGAGAAAAGACCAGATTTGGCGAAGAAAAAAGTGATTTTCCATCAAGACAACGCGCGCCCCCATATAAATGCTATTTCGATGGCAAAAATCCATAAATTAAGGTACGATTTGTTGCCGCATCCTCCTTATTCGCCTGACTTAGCTCCGTCGGACTTCTATCTATTCCCACGGTTGACGAAATTCCTTGCCGGGGAAAGATTTTCGTCGGATGAAGAAGTGAAAGAGGCAGTTGACGGATATCTTGCGTCACTTGACGAATCAGAGTTTCGCAATGGAATAATGATCTTGGAGCACAGGTGGCTCAAGTGTATTGATGTCAAGGGAGATTATGTTGATAAAAAGGAATAATGATAAAAAAATATAAGCTGGTTTTCTATTTTAGTTCAAGAACTTTTCAAATGGCCTTCGTGAATTAATAATAATTCAATTTTATTATCGTTGACTTTCAAACATCCACATTGTGCATGTTTTCAGTACATTTTACGGCGACTATCGGATTTTAACTGTAGGAATATTATATGCACTATGTGGAGCACATTTGCAAATTATAATAATTGTAATTTTTACATTATTTATATAAATCTTATATAATTGGGACTATGAATAATTAAACATGTAGTTAGGTGTTTTTATTTTATTTTGTAAATGTTTTTATGACAATTTTTTTATGAAAATTAGTGAGAAAAATAATTATGTTCGTAAATAATTTGTCTAATTATAGTTTGTGATTTTTCAGATATGCATCGAAACTGATTGCATTTATTTAAAAGTTAATAAATTAAATTTGACAATTACTTTCTTCACTATTAACATGTCGATATCAACCAATGTCAATATACATTTTAGCTGAAAATTTTCTTACTACTGAGAAGTTTTATCAGCATATTATCACTGAAATCAGCTGTGTAATAGAAGACTGAACGCACAACGAAAAGAACAACTTTATCTTCCCTTGCCAATTGCAATCTTTCTGCAATATATTATTTGTGTAACAATCAGAAATGTTTGTCAAACGCTGCCATTTTTTTAACTCTCCTATTATCTTTCTATGACTAAATGTACACGTGTCCTTACGTAATGCACTGCCAAAACATTTATAAGCATCATTCTTTATATATCTTGTTATCGACTCTAAAGCAAAGAAATGATCTAAACATTGATTGAATTTTTTAAATTGTTCAAATCTATTACTGTAATTATAATATTTTTATTTGGTACTTTAACTTTTTTAATCTAACAATAAATATTATATTTGTCGCCATATTTTTTTAGCACAGCTGTTTTAGTATAGCAGAATAATTATTGGTAATGCATATAATACATATTGAGGAAAGATAGAATGCTGGCATACATTAATACAACTAGTAAGAAATAAAGATAAACATGATATATGTACGATACAATTTAACATATACTGTTCTTATACTTGGATTGCTACATAATTGTTTTTAATTATTTACATTTTTATGATTGCATGGATCCGTTTGCTGTAGTTTACGAATTTATATTATTTGTTGTAGATTAGAATTTAAGAATTGATGTGGCAACAGTCGATCTTGCAACCAGCATTCTGTCTTTCCTGAAGGCCTCTGCATCATATACTAAACTGTTATTCACTTATTTTTATCGATAAAGAAATGTAACAAAAGGAAACAATGTATTTAAGTCTAGAATTTAGAAGAAAAACATTTTATCTCTGCGATATTACTCTCTTTACATAGAAAATATTAAATTAAAAAAATATTAGTTACCACAAAAACACATGTGTATGTACATAGATAACGAGAAGTAGGTAAATAATTTATGAATTTAATTGAAATCATAGGATATTGAAATTTATGAGAAAAAAAACAATTTGACATATATTTTCTTCAATTTTTTATGTATTAAACTCTGTAATAAAATGTTACTTTTCAGGAAAATAATTCATTTATATTTAATTCAAATATATAGTTCCGGCGTTATCTTTTATTAAAGACAGGAACATTCTACGAATTATTCAAGAAAATTAAATAAGAGGGTCATCTAATTCGTCGTAGGTTTCAAAAATGTTAATAGCATCATTATGATCTTTGCTTGATTTGTCGCTATCTTGCAAAGTGCATTTATCTTCGATACTAGGATTATAATTAACACCTGTAGAATATAGGTTCTCTGTCTCATTGGCAATATCTTTACTTCCAAAATTATCTAGATCACACGCATCATTGTCTGAATCGCAACAATCATCTAGAGTGTCTTGGAAAGTACATGAATCATTATTTACAGCATTACTTAGAGATTTCTCATTTGTTATCGTATCTTCAACCTCATGGATATCATTAAACGAGGAATCTTCTGTATCAGAAGATGAACTTTCTTTCTTCGGTGAGTCTAGATCTTTTGCCTGTTTATTTTCAATAGGTTGATCAATATCTAATTCTTCAGCAGCACTTGTTGCGTCATTGTAACTGTTCTCTTGTTCAGGAGGTAAGAAAAATGACGTGTCAGTTGTCTTCAAATAATTCAAATGCTGAACGTGAAGACGACAATCTTTGCCAGATCCTTGAAAATATATCTAGAAATAAAAACGCGTGATTTAATAATTAAAGTGTTCAAGAATTATAACAAGTTGTCTTATTTGTCGCCATTAATGGATTCTTTAAATATGCACCTGCTTTACAGATTGCTTTGCATTGCACAACTTGCACTGCCATTTACGTGCTTTTTTCACTATATGTACCTATAAAAGCACGAAGGAAACGAATTACCGAATCTCGTAACGAACGTTATTGTTAATTCATTCACTTTAAGCTTACTTGATACATTTTGCAGGAATAACAACACAAAACATTCATTTCTTGAGGCATTGTTGAAACTATTTTGTAATTCGAAAACTGAGGAAATTATGCGGAGCTCAGATTCAAGGACGGGTCTGACTGCTACTCAAGAAATTATACAATGTAATATAGAACAATAAATGTGGAGCAGGATACACGAATATGCCTAGAAGAAAAAATTGACTTTTAATTTATCTCTTTATGTATATACTTTATAAACTGTACACATTACATTCAGAATGTTTCATATATGCAATATATAAAATACACGCTGAAAAGTATTGTATTATAATAATGACATAAATCTGGATATATTTACTCTGCTATAGTATCAATGTATCATGTAATTCATTTCAGTTCTATTGTGCAATTTGGCAGAGCTTCTGCGAGTTCTTTCCTAAGTGAAGCTTTATCCTCTAGGTATGGTATACCAGTGATCTTCAGGGTCTTCAGATTCCTGTAAAACGTAGACAGAAAAACTTAATGTTTAAACCACAGATCTTGTTGATGTAACAAATATTGAGAATAATATTCTTTAACACATGTAACACTACAAATGTGTTTACTTGAGATTCTTCAAACTGCGCACTCCCTGATCAGTTATACTCTTGCACTCTTTGATTTCAAGAGTGGTTAGGGTATCCTTCACCGCTGACAATAGTGGCAAGGCGGTGTTGTACAAGTAAGAACAACGTACCAGCTTAATCTCGTCAATGTACCTGCAACCAACTGAATTTCTGTAAGTACCAATATTTTTACCCAACGACACAGCGACGGGAAAGAATTTATTTGTGATATGCAATGGAAGTCTTTCTCAACTAACAACTGTTTGCAATTATCTCTGTCACAACATGAAACATAATGTAATACAGTTAACACTTTCGCTTGTACCATCCAATAAAAATTCTAGATTAACATTTCTAAATTATCACAGGAAAAATTTAGCAACCGGTACTGCCAAGGGTTCTCCGCTGCAATATCTCATTACCGAATGACGCTACACTTCATCGCACATATGTTTAACATGATACCAACCAAAATGTGGAAATCCCACGTGCGTTATTCCAGAATCTGTAGCGTCCACCGCCTGAATGTAACATCGATTCTCTTCCGACGATAATTTATTGTAATCCCCCAGGTACTCCGAGAAGCCTTTCCACCTGACACTGGCGCCGTTCTTCAAGAGCCACTCGGCACACGCACGGTCCGGGCCGACAGACTGGATCCTTTCGCGGTCGACCCTCAAAATGAATTAACGCTTTGAAACTACGCGCTGGCGAGCGATATCGCGAAGACAGTAGTTGCTTTCCTTTTACATGAAAACTCAGATAAATCTCACTTGTGACATGCATTCAACTCAGTTGAATGCATGTTCCTTTTGATTCTTGAGAAGTGAGATTCAACTAGACAGAGTTTTTGCGCACGATCAAGATCATGTGCTTTAGTGAGTTTAATAGACTCACATTAATGACGTCATATCTGAGTATAAAATACTCACATAATTGAGTGACTCGGTATCACTCGAGTGTAAAAGGAAAGCAGCTAATGCGAATATAAGCTTCGCAGGGTACCTGTTAAATATTATGGTTAGCCAATAGAAGAATTCTCTGTCAGGCGCTTTTCGGCAATGACTCGGGATCGCGCTCAATATCCGCAGTCCGTTTGGTATCTGTAACGCATAACGTTCACATAATATAACAAACGTGCACACAGCCAACGTGTAAAATCCTACATTCTGTATCGCGTTATTTTGCAGAAATGAAAAAACGCGACTCGAGTCGACCACCTTTCGGCACGTTTAAGAAACGACATGACAAACGGCAGTTAATCGTATCGTTGACAAAATACAATTAATATATCGTACGTGCGGCAGCATCGTGTCTCTTTGTTTACGCCGCACAGCTGAGCGTAGCGCAGAAAGATTAAGGCTGATGGCAGACAACTATCCGTAAGCGCTTACGGACTTACGTTTTTCTCTGCCTTACCTTAAGTCTACGGCTTACGTAAGTCCGTAAGCGCTTACGGATAGTTGTCTGCCATCAGCCTAAATTACTCACCTCTCCTACGAGACGCTATAACGAGGAGTTGGCTCACTGCGCAAGTCCGCCGAGCGGTCTCCTCTCTCCGCGGCTGCACCACGTGCGTACTTTCTGCACTCAAAACGACGTCGGTACGCGACCGGACGCGTCGGGACGGTCGGGACCAGTCGGGACTGGTTGGGACGAGACAGGAGAAGAGAGGAAAGGAGGAGAAAAGTACAGGCTTCAGATACCCACGAGTTTCGAAATGCAGGGTTTCAGGTTGAAAACTCGAAAGGAGGCGTAGACAGATTCGGTCGAAAAAGCAAAACAAAAAATAATCATACGCGCGACGCATGTTAGAACGCATCAGGTATCACAGGACCGCGGCCACTATTCACGCGTAACTTTATACAATGCGCGTGGCTTACAATCAAGAGAACAATTTATGCGGATTTTATTAATTTCGCCATGTTGTACGTTGACCAAACTGGCAATATATTTATTTGCCTACGACGTTTCGGCTCCGTCTCGAGTAAACTGAAACCATATAGTATAAACATATAATAATGGAAAATAATAAATTAGAGAGAAACCAGCACACTAAAGAACAATATAATGGGGAGTGCCTTAGGTAGAATCTTATTACTTGGTAGCAGGGAACATGATGTATCACGTAAGATGTGGCCGCATTTCACGAGACTATACGTGTAGTACGTGTGACAAATTATAAATTGGGGGTAAAAAAATCGATTGCTGTAGATAAATAAATATATTGCCAGTTTGGTCAACGGTACAACATACAGCATTTTTATCTCTTTTTATTTGAATATTGCTGGTGACAAGAAGAAAGACTTTTATTGTTTATTAATTTCCTTTGAATGTCCAAGTTGGTTTTAATTAATTACTTTAACGTACACATTTGACACGCGATAAAATGAAGTTTGATGCGCATTAGACATCTAATGTATGTACACGCATAAATGCTGTTCCTATCCTTGTGAGGTGCACGCACATAACTACAGGGGCTCTAGTTGTGTGCGTGCACCTCACAAGGATAGGGACAGCATTTATGCCGGTGCGTGTACAAGTGATTCGGCCGCTGTTAATTGAACAGAAGATTTTCGTGCTACTCGCAGTCGGATGCCAATTTCCTCAGTTCCTCCTCGGGGAAACGATAATAATGCCACTGCTCCTTAGACGTCAGGTCGCTGGCGCCGAATCTCTTGTAAAACTCTTGCGCAGGGTTCCACTTGAGTACCATAAAGTCCAGCTTGCGACAGTCGTTCTCAATGGCCTCCTGCGATCGCACATCTCACACAATCAGGCGCCACGTGTCGTTGCGCTCGCATGGCGCACGTAATCTCGATTAAAGCAGTACCTTTGCAACGGTTTTCAGAAGCCTGCTGCCCACGTGTCTCCCACGAAAGTCCGGCGTCACGTAGATGTCCTCCAGGCACATGGACTTTCCGCACCACGTGGAATAAGTGTAGTAGGACAGCGTGTATCCGACGACCCTTCCAGCTGACGTCGCCACGTTACAGAAATACAGCGGTTGCCCGTCGAAGCCGTCTCTTTCCAGGGCTAAAGATATTTTTGTCGTGAGACAATTTTCCGGAGACGCCTCGTAGCACAGTACACAATTTACACATGAATCTTACTTTTATAATCGATCTGCGGTCCGTCGGGCATCTTCTCGTAGTCCGCCAATTCCTGTAAAAATTAATATAGTTGTCCGTATTGTCCAACCTGCGGTTGCGTGTCGGCCAGAATCTTATACCTGTATGAGCGCTCTAATGCTCTCGCAGTCTTCACGTCTAGCTTTTCGTATAATTATTTCAGACATTGTCAATAACGAGTAGAGATTCCTTCAAGTATCGTAATGAGTGTAAACCGTTTTCAGAGGTATCGAGATAGCGTAAAGTGCAATACAACCGGACGAGAGCGTGAGCTAGAGTTTATGCCGATATAAAATGTATATGTATGCACATGCATGTTCCTAGAATCGCAAAGGAGTGAGATAGCCTATGTCTCTCTCTCACTCGCAGGAATTTGACGAACTCTTATGGCCAGTCGCTGATTACAGGGTCTCTAAGGGTCCATCGCACACGAAATTGTACAGTTG